TTTGAGAGTAAGAAAAATGCCCTGACATAGATGCAGAAAGAATATCTCTGGGGCTTTGCCCACCCTCTTCTTCTGATAACTTATTTTTCGAACTGCCTATACTGTATGCCAGCCCCAACGCTAACCTTTGCTGCCAATCACAGTCCCTGACCCAACGTGCTGGCTCCTGACCCAGTGGCCTAATTAGTCCTGGCAGCCCTGGGTCAGCCATTGTGCAGCAGTAGAGTCCTTACGCAATTAGAGATCTTTCCCAAACCTCTCGCCCCTGGAATCCTTTCAGAAGTGAAACCGAAAGGATTTAAGCCTGGGGCTCCCTGGGTCTAGCCTCAGGGAGAAGAGGAGCTCCGGAGCATGAACCACCTGCGGAGATGCAGAGACAAGCTTTGTCAAAGAGGGAGTGGTGGGTCCGCTGGGACCCAGGGGCCACTCTCCCGTGACCACCTGAACCTTTGACCTTCTTACATTGTGGCTATAAAGACAATACATTTTCTTTTAAGCTTAAAATGGTTTGAGTTGGTGTCAGCTATTTGCATTCAAATGCCCCGATTCATGCAGATGTGATCACCTGATGTTCCTGCATTGATGGGGCTCTCTGCCATTCCTGTTCTCAGGACACTCACTGCCTCTGCACCCCACGAGGTGGTTCCTAGGGTCCCTTTTCTGCTCTGTGACCCTTGTGTCTGACAAGGCTACCTGGTCCAAAGGGTAGTGACAGGCACATCCAAAGCCTCACCTCCGCACCTTAGAGAGAGGAGGTGGGAGCCAGGACGTGTGACTGGTGGCACTCCAAAGGGAAGACAAGGACAGTCCTCAGAGCCACCCTGCTTCTTCTCCCTCCTGAGGCGGAGTGATTTGATCCAGCTGTCTTGAATTCCGCGAGCTCACCAAGAGAACGGAACCTGTACACCCAAAAAGTGACCCTGCAAACCGGACCATCACTTCCATGCGTTCCCCTGTGCGGAATGTGAGGCCTCGCTCTGAACGGACCTCAGCAATCAGGATCCTGTGGTTTCCACCTTGCACGGTGAGCCCAGAGGTGGGGTGGCCCAGGAGTGACCCAGTCAGCACCTGGGGGACGTGGTCGCCTGTGGTCAGGCCGTGTGCCTTATGCTCCATGTTTTAAGGCTGATTGCTTTCAAAGGCCTGTTTCCCTGGGGCCCTAAATGGCTGCCAGTCATAGTGAGCTGTGTCATCACACATGGCCAGCAGGAGACAGAGACGCTTCTGCTCCAGTCTGATTTGGAAGCAATATCCTGGCAGCTGTGTGAGAACAATTTTGAGGTGTCTTTGGGAGTCGGAATTGGCAGCTTGGTGGCTACGGGGCTGCAGAGGTGTGGGGAGGGAGGGGGTCTTGCCTTCCTTCCTTCCTTCCTTCCTTCCTTCCTTCCTTCCTTCCTTCCTTCTTTTTTCTCCCATTCTTTTGTTTTCTTGTTTTGTTTTGGCACTGGGAATTGAACCCAGGGATGCTTTGCCACTGAGCCACATCCCTAGCCTTTTTTTTTTTTTTTTTTAAAGAGAGAGTGAGAGAGAGGGACAGAGAGAGAGAATTTTAACCTTTATTTATTTTTTCTTAGTTCTCGGCGGACACAACATCTCTGTTGGTATGTGGTGCTGCTGAGGATCGAACCCAGGCCGCACGCATGCTAGGCGAGCGTGCTACCGATTGAGCCACATCCCCAGCCCCCATCCCTAGCCTTTTTATCTTTTTTTTTTTTTTTTTTTTAATTTTGAGGCAGGGTCTTGCTAAGTTGCTGAACTTAAGGCTACTTGAACTTATGATGGTCCTGCCTCGGGCTCCCTAGTCCCTGGGATTACAGGCATGTGTCACTGCACCCAGCTTGCCCATCTTTCTGGCATGGGCACCTATGTTGACAGAGATGCCCTTTCCTTAGGCAGAGCTGGTCGGAGAAGTTCTGCCCAGGAGTCCAGTTGGAGCCTTCGGCAAAGCCTTGAGGTTGACAGTAAAGTGTTCATGTCCGACAAGGAGTAACCGTACCAGGTGAGATAAGCCAATTGTTTCTCTTGACGAATGGCAGTTTGGGCTTCCGCACAGAGGACCATGTAGAAAACGCAGGCAGCCACTTTATGACCCTTCAGTGCTGAGCTTCAAGGCCGAGCATCAGAGCCGGGTGTGATCAGAAGTCAGTGGGGTTCCTGACGTCGGTGCCACACAGCTGTTTCCACCTTCCAACCCAGTTTTGCTCAGGTGTGCACCTACGCCCGGTGCTGCAGGATTCTCATCATGAGCCTGATGGATGGCTGTCAATTCCAACTGCGCATCAAGATGTGAAAAAACACCACGGTTCAGGACCTACCTCCTGAGCTTAAGTTTCAAGTGAAAAAGACACACTTTACTCTAAATAAAAGTACACATTTTATTAGTTTCAAAGTATACAGTGGATGGCGTTAATGGCATCACATTGCTGAGCAAACCTCACTCTCCATCTCCAGAGAGCTTCTCCTTTGGCAGATCAGACACCTTGTGTCCATTAAGTAGTTACTCCCATTCCCTCCTTCCTCAGTCCCTGGAGCCCGCCATTCCACCTTCTCCTTCCAGACGTGACTGCTCCAGGTTCTTCCTATCAGTGAACCAGACCACATCTCTCCTTTGTGATTGGTTGACCCCACTTAGAAGATCGCTCCAAGGTTTATCCGTGTCGTAGCTCAGGTCAGAATTTCCTTCCTTTGTTAAGACCGAATAATATCCCACTGGACACAGGTGCCACATTTTGTTTCTTGGGTTTCTTCCACTTTGGGGCTATTGTAAATAATATTGCTGTGAAGGTGGGTTTTACAAATAGCACCAGAGACAATGAGTTAGGAAGCCAGGAAAAAGACAATCAGATGTCACCAGAGGTATTTTGGAGAGCTTTCCATGGGATCTTGAACAGGCCACAAGGGTGGAGGGCATTATATATGGCAACACCTGGAAACTTAAGGAGCCCAGGGAAGAGGCGCGTTACCTGAGCTGACTCAATCTGGTTGCTCGTGACAGGCCTCGTCACGTCAAGCTAGCAGCACTTCGCACATCTGCCTTCACCCAAAACAGACTTGGAGACCCAGGAGGGTGGGGTGCCTTTGTTGACCTCAGCATCTCTTGGATATAGCCCAATGCCTTCTTAATAGTTTATTAAGTTGCTATTGAATAAAGCAGCCTATAATCCACCTCTTTCCCACTATGACAACCAAATATTCCCTTCCTCTGCTGGGCATCATGTCCCACTGGTCCCCAAGCCACACTCTTGTCCTGTAACCTGACTCCTGGCCCAAGGTTCAGTCAGGATCCAAATCTTTATGAAGCAAAATGATGAGTGTAAAAGAGGCCGTGGGCCCCGACAGAGGGACAGGACAGGGGTGGAGTGCCACAGCCTCTGTTTCTCCTCCCCCAAAGATAGTGGCTGTACCCATTCCTGCGCAGCTGTCACCCCACAAGTATCTGCTTCTCCCTCTCCACAACCCGCTTTAAAAAGAAAGACAAAGAAGCAGCATTTCTATGCAGGTGGATTTGTGGGCCTTTTATTCCCTTTTGCGGCTCCACACGCTTGTGTTGACCTTGGTTTTCATTTTAAACCGAGTGTTCGAGATCACATTTTATGGAAACCTTTGGAAATTCAAAAGCAGACCCAGCAAAACGCCAACCACCTGGAGAGTTCTACTTAAATCCATACGCGCAAGTCCACCTACGTGTTTGGAGAGAACCTCGATGTCATGCAGAGCAGTAGTGTAGCAGATTAAGAATGATAAGCCCCCTCCTCCCCTTGCCTCAGAAGCTACCATATGCAATGGGATGGGGACAGCAAGGGCAGGCCTTGGTGAGAAGAACGATAAGACTCGCCTTTGGTTGCTCCCTGAGTTTCCAGGAGCCGAGCTCCCCTTTCACCCAAGTGGCAAACTAGCAGGGGCCCGCATGAGGGGAGGCCAGGGGGGCTGGAGTGTGAGAACACAGGTCAGATCTTGCAGATCTTGTCTTTACTCCTGGTTTAAATACTTTGCTCATGCATATATTTGGTATTCAACTTGATTTTTAAAAAATACTTTAATATGGTCATTTGGGTTGATTACCGAGTTGTTGGCACCCATTAACCTCCCTTCCCCATTTGCCTCGCTTGACTCCAGCTGCTGCCACTGCCTCCCCCTGCAGCTGCCCATGCTAACCCCCTCTTCCGTGTTTCCCCTGGTAACCCACACCTGGCACGGGGGAGAGACGCAGGGAAGCTGGGCAGGGGTGGCCTTCCCCTCCCAGATCTTTTGCTAATGTCATCTTGAAGCTTTTCATTGAGATACACATGACAAGCGAGGGCCCATTTCTTCTAGGTTTTCCTGAACTGAGGATGTTGACAAAACAGTGCCCCTGAGAGAAACCATGACCAGCTTTGTGCTCTGGAACTTCCAGGCGACTGGCTGCTGCACTTGACATTTGAATTCTCAAGTTAATTTAACCGTGCTGACGGGAGCAGCCCTGGAAAGATTCCTAATAGAGTGAAAGGGTGGACCATCTTCCCAGTGCAGATGTGTCTCCCTGCTCCTACCCCCACTTCCCAGCCTGGGACAGTATGGGAAGACCAGGGGTCCTACCTAGTGGGGGCTCACCCTGCAAAGAGCAGTGGAGGCTCCTGGATTTCAGGCCCATCTCATGAGGACCTAAGTGGGAACTGTACTGCTCCTTGACTGCGTCTTGGACTCTGGATGTTTGTTCTGTGCCATTGTCTGCATCAGGAGTAAACCAATGTGGAAAAATGACCAGGGTCCCCCTGGCCTTCCTAGCCATCCTAGCCATCCTAGCCGGTCTTCAGAGTCTTGAGGATCCAATCCACCTCTGCCTCCATGACGTCATCTTCATATGTCATTACTATTACCAGACTTGCACCCTAACATAAGGATCAAGTCATTGATCTGATGGAAAACATCATTACCTAGCAGATGCTTGTGTACCTAAGCAGTGTCAGGAACACCATAACACACTGAAACCATCAGGGCAAGAGCTGCCCACGCCGCCTTACCAGGACCGTGTGCATCCCAGTGTAGAGCCTGCTGAGGCACACCAAGCCGGAGAACACCATGGCCATCGTCAGTCCCAAAGCAAAAGGGTACTGTGGGGGGTGGAGCAGAAAACAAGGAAATTAGATCACGCTCGGACATGTGTGATATGATGTTGTAGGTGGCAACAGGATTCATTGCGCCACAACTGCTGGTGTGAATCACATATTGCCTAGACCAGCAATCCAACCATCTGAAGACATTTTAAACCCAGGGAAACAGAAGGGAGGGAGGGTTAGGAAGTTTCTCTACATATAAACATGCGGATAATGCAGAGTAGAACTAAGACTCATGGTCACAACCACTGTGCTGGCATTTTAACTGGAGTGAATAAATTTATCTATCTATCTATCTATGTGTTTTCTGAACCACATACCCAGCCCTTTTTATTTTTTATTTTGAGGCAACATCTCACTAAGTTGCTTAGAGCCTTGCTGATTTGCTGAGGCTGGCCTGATCTTCCTGTCTTGGTCTCCTGAGTCACTGGGATTAGAGGCGTGAGCCACCATGCCAGGCTGCAGTGAATAACTTTTATTTTTAACTATTCTGAAGTGAAAGCTTGAGAAATACACAATTTGACCATGAAGCAAGGCAAATAGTCAGTGCCGTACAGTCTGAAAGGCCCAACCAGCAGCAGGCATCCAGATATTCAGGCAGGCAGTAGTCCAGACCTTGCTAAACCTCAGTCATAGCAGCAGCATAGAGGAATCTGGCTAACACCGGGTCATATGGGGGATATACAGACTCTCATAGCATATTAATCTTTAAAAATTAAATAGAAGCCAGGCACAGTGGTACACACCTGTAATCCCAGTGGCTCTGGAGGCTAAGTCAGGAGGATCGTGAGTTCAAAGCCAGCCTCAGCAATGGCAAGGCCCTAAGCAACTTGGTGAGACCCTGTCTCTAAATAAAATACAAAATAGGGCTGGGGATGTGATTCAGTGATTGAGTGCCCTGAGTTCAATCCCCAGTAATGCTTCCCCCCCCACCCCCAGAAATAGAAAGGAAATTCACAATACATGGGTTTTCAGGCCTTACGAAAACCAGTATATCACGTGAGCTGAAAAGAACTTTTCAGAAGGACTAGGTGGCTTTAAAGATGAGCGTATAAGCGGCCAATTGTTACTCTTTTGTCATTGTTCTGTCCCTGCAGCCAGCCTCTCCTGGCTTCTTTTTTCCCTAAGTAACATTAGCGTGTTCACAGACTTCTCTGGATTCCGAGCAGCCCCGGGAGGCTGGTGCCCACCACAACCTCCTGGTGCCCACCACATCCTCCAGCCAACATAGATCAGAAGTCTGTACTCAGTTGATTCAGACATCTTTGATCCTGGCATGACCTTGGAGTAAGTTATGACAAATGATTATATCTAGTTAAATAGACATACAATGGTCCCTTTCCCCTTCAGGAACAGAGTTCTAAACCCAGGCGGCCTGGTGGAGAAGGCTGCAGGGTCAGTGAGGATCCTGTTACTCCCATTTCTGCATAACCCCCAGTATGGAAGATCCCTGATTCTCAGAGGTAAAGGGGGCAGGGTGAAACAATACTGCCGTTTACCTATAAGGCAGCTAGATTTCATGAAATATAAAATTTCCAGTAGCTAAAGGGTAACATTTATGAAACACAAATTAAAGCAATATATCTCACGTAGGAGAAGACTAAAAAAAAAATAAACCTTCATTAGAGTTTTAATATAACTGTTAAAAGGTCTTACTGTAATTGGGATCTGAGCAGACATTAAGGGACATTCTCCTGTTTTCATGATTAATCAATCTCCTGTCATTTGGACAGTTCTAAAATAATCGGAGTCATTCCTTCTAATGGCTGCGCCCTAAGCAGAGGCAGAAGCATCCTCAGAGGGTAATTTGAGCACAGACTCTTTTCAGCCCCAGGCCCTGGGGAGTCTGGCAGAGGGATTTGGTGGAATCATCTCTGCCCTGGAGGATCGTTTACAGGATCATAAACTCTTTGTGTCTGGTGAACAGAGAATGAGAGCACTGATTCAAGTCTGCCCAGGCAGGCAAGTCAGGGGAAATGGTTCCTGGGAGAAGACAAACCATGCCCGCTGCCCGGATGGCTGTGTTTCGCCAGTTGTCCTGGTGTGGTTATTAATGGTGCCCATTTGCACTCTTGGGCACAAATCGATACAGATGCTAAATTATATGGTCACTTTATTTATGAGGAAGCTGTCATCCAATAGGTTTCGATTCCCATTAGTCTTTATCCCATAAACTTTAAAGTTCTTCAAAGCAAACTTAAGAGAAAATTCTGAAGTGTACCTCTGTTAGCTGCCTCATTGTACAGTGTCACTGGCCTGGGTAGGGGGTGAGAAGGAGAGTCAGGCCACCTTACCTGGTATCTGTCCATGGTCGAGATAAGGAGCGTGAAGGAGATGGCCGTGGCCGCCATGGCATGGGTAGATGGCATTCCAAATTCCGCAATCACTCTCTTCTCCAGTTTCACAACGGGAGGGGAGGAGGGACGGGGCCACTTCAATATATCCTTGGTCACCTGACCAACATACATCACCAACTGTAAAACCAAAGGACTGAGGTGAGTCCAATCAAATACAGAAAATAAGTGAATTTCTTAATGGCCTAGTTTTATTGGAGGTTCCCAGTTGGTTGGCTGAAGTCTCCCTTCTCTCTGATCAGCCTTATTGGGAAAGTCTTGTAGAATAACATTTTAGCTGCTATAAAGAGATAGGCCTTCTAGATTCGATAGGACCACTGAGCAACCCAAATAGGACATTAATGCAAAGATTATTTATTTTAACCACATATCTAAAAAATACTTTCATAGCTTGGATATATGTCTAACACTGTTTTAAGAATTTTAACTGTGTTAGCTAACTTATTCCAATAATACCTGTAGAATGTGGCTCCATAGTACAGATGAATAAACCATTGCATGACTGTCCACAGGCATAAATGAACTCTGCAGGAACTGGAATCTGAATCCAGAAATTGGGCTTCAGAGTATGCTTTAAACTACCACAAGATGGTACACCCCTCCATGGGGGTGGTCCTGGGTTAAAGACAGTCTAATGCTTAAATCAGGCACCATGTTTTCAAGCTTTAGCAACAAAAGTGATAGATCTTATGGAACATCTAGTTAAACATTTTTTGAATGCCACTGTTCATCCTTGTGAACATAACTGACATACTGGATTGAACTTAACTTCATTCAGAAATCAGAAATACCAGTAAAATAAATGGCATGGGAATTTTCAAACCTAGAGTAAAGACAAGTCAATCTGGAGTTTGTTCATTTTACATGAGGCCATTAAGGAAGAACTCTGCCTTCCTGAGCTTTTTTTTTTTTTAAGTGCAAGAGAGCTAGGCACTGTGATATATATGGGAGGCCAAGGCAGAAGAACTGCAAGTTTGAGACCAGCCTGGGCAACTTGGGAGACCCTATCTTGAAATTTAAAAAAAAAATATATATATATATATATTTATATGTATATATAAAAATATATTTATACATAATATATAAATATATATTATGTATAAATATATAAAATATATTTGTTATAATATATATATATATATATATATATATATATATTTTTTTTTTTTTTTTTTTCCTGGACATGTAGCTCAATGGTAGAGTGTCCCTGGATTCCATCCCCTGTCCTGGAAAAATAATAAATACATAAAGTGAGCAGAAGATAAAAATCTGGATTTGACATTCACACTCTCCAAAAATGAATAGAACTATTATAACTACAGTTTCGCTTATTTGATGTAAGCATTTTCAGGACAATTTCCCCTTGGAGAGAGAAGAGCAACTCAATTAAGGAATTCCATTCATGGCCTGAGGGCACCCCTAACCGGGAGGTCCGTCTTAAATGCAGACTCTCAGGGCCTCAGGGGATTTGGGTGCACAGGCGAAGGTGAGCGCCAGCGCTCTGCCTGGTGCTCTGGCTCAGGCCACTCTCATGGCGTTCATCATAACCCTTCTCATCTGACCGTGACTGCATTGATCTCACAAAGACGTGATGGATGGAGTTACCTTGCTATCAAAACCACTAGGAAGGGCCAGCTATTTCAAAATAGCTGGGGCTGCTCGCCCAGACTGCTCTAGGAAGGAGTCTGCTGCGGATCTTAGGTGGTCTGTTCATTCGGAGCATTACCCCAGCGGTGCAGGATCCCGCCAGGGGGCGCTGCTGTGTGTCCGTGCTCCTGCCTCTGGGTCCCTGGTGACCAAACCGGAGCCACTGCTGTGCACCGCAGGACAGGTGGGCGGCTTTCCAGCCACAGCGACCGTTACTCTGCATTCCACAGCTCTGGTTTCCAACCGGACTTGGAAACTGACCCTTTTTGCTACCCCTCATTACCAGGCAGGACTGTCCTGGAGACCAGCTCACTCTGTGTTTCCACCTCCCTCCTGGGAACCTGTACAACCGGATCCAAAGGACCGACTGTCTTCTGGGGAGTGGAAAATCGTGCACGTATTTCTGACGTCCAAGAAATTCTCAAAAGCTGCCTGAAATGTGTGTCTCAACTCTTTCCCTTCCTCACCACCAATATAGAAGAGTATTGTAGGCGAAGTGCTTAAGTCTAGTTAAATATAGAAAATAAAACCTTTAGAAACAGGGAAACCTAAAACCAAAAGGGAAGAATGATTGGGTAACCCTTATTCAGACCCACTTCAATTTCTTTAAAGTTCATGAGTTCCTTTATGTCATTTATAGTTTGCCTTCTATGTTTGAAGGTTGTTTTTTAAAAAATAGGACAATAGTTCATTTCAAAACATTGCTAGGACTTGCATGCTGTTTCTGATTGGTAAATTTCAAATAACAATGACTGTAACAACAGCCCTCTTCATTTTGTTTATTTATGTATTTATTTAGCACTATTGGGGATGGAACCCAGGGGTGTTCTACCCCTGACTAAATCTTCAGCCCCTTTCTAAAAAATCTTTTTTTTTTTTTGAGACAGGGTCTCACTAAATTGCCCAGGCTGGCCTCAAACATGCAATCCTCCTGCCTCAGCCTCTCGAGTGGCGGGGATTACAGACATGTACCACCAGGCATGGCTAGCCCTCTTTGAATAAGAAAAAAAATGGAGTGACATTTTTTAAGTTTCGGGGAAATAGCTCTACTCCTGAGATGCTCAGTCAGTCTCTGCCATTGCCGATGATGACAGTGAACCTGTCAGGTGTCCAACCCTGTGTTACCCTTGGGTGGGGAGAACAGCTGCACAGGGCATTTCATCAAAATGCAAAACAGCTTTGAAAAAAATTATCCACAGGATTTTCTGGGTACAAGCTATACTTGGATCTGGAATGTCCCTCAAAGGCCATGTGTTGAAGGCTTGGTCCTCAACCTGTGGCACTACTGGGGGGTGACGGAACCTTTGTGAGGTGGGGCCTGGTGAGAGCAAAGTAGGTCCCTGGGGGCATGCCCTAGAAAGGGATATTGGGACCCTGGCCCCTTCTTCTTTCCTGGTCACCATGAGGTAAGCAGCTTCCTCTACCATGTACACTCCCCATGATGTACTGCCTCACCACTGGCCCAGAAGTAATGGAGCCAAGTGACCACAGATTGAAACCTCCAGAAGCACAAGCCAAAATAAAACTTTTGTTTTTTTCAGTTGACTATCTTAGGTTTTTTTGTTATAGTAACACAAACATAATACAATATGCATATACAGAGAGAGATTTTGGTTCAGCCAGGAGGGTCAGGGCCTCTGGGGTTGAGTGTTAAGATAAAGGACAAATAGCAAAGCATCTGGATTGCAAGAACAGCATGAGAGACGTGATGGTGGGGGGCATGTAGTGGGAACTATCAGGAGGTTAGAAGTGCTAAAAGTGGAATGGGGGGCATATCACCACACATCTCCTGGGATGACTGAACTGAGCAAGACTGGCCATATCAGAAGGTGCTGAGGATGTGGAGCACTGCCTCTCCTAGGCCCCTGGAGGAAATGCAGACTGGTACACCCACGCGGGAGAAGAGCTGGGCAGTTTCTTAAAAAGTTAAGCACACACTCATCGTGTGATCTAGGTGAGCTGTTGCTAGACATTTACCCATGAGCAATGAAAACACACGTCCCATAAAGACTTGCACGTGAATCTTCCTGGCAGTTTTTCTGTAAAAGTCCCAAACTGGAAACAGCCCAACTTCCATTGATGGGGGAGCAGATAAATGATGGTGTAATCATACAATTGAATGCTACTTGGCAACAAGAAAATAATGGGCGATTGACACGTGTTTGCAACATAAATGAATTTTCAAAATAATTATTTTGAAGGAAGAAGCCAGACTAAAACAAAACAACAAAACAAACAGTACAGACTAACGAATTCCATTTCTATAGAAATCTAGAAAATGCAAACTACTTTCTAGTGACAGAAATAGGAATGATGGTTACTATGGAGAGGAGAAGAAAGTACAAACCAGCCTGAGGCTACTGTGGGGGGTGACACATCTTGATTATGAAAAGGATCTCAGGGTAGACCCACAAACCAAAATGGGCCCAATTGGATATTTTAAATATGAGCAAACCTTGTGAATACACTGAGAATGACGGAATCATATGCTTTAAATGGTTGAATTCTACAGTGTGTGAATTACACCTCACTAAAGCCGGGAAGTATGTGCCATTCATTATGTCCCAATCACATCTCAAGAAGTGGCTCAAAGATTTCCTGAAATGAGAGGAACATATTTCTGGACAGGGCCTGGTGACAAGGCACCATGTTGTGGAAAGGGGACTCTGGCAGAGGCCTGGCCTGGCCTGCCGTGCCCTGGGTGTCTAATAGATCCCCTCGATGCCCGTGGGAGAGTCGGGGGAGGGAGTCAGTTAAGAAAATATTGCGAAATCCAAGTGCAACCCAGGTCAGCTGAAAAGAGGTTTGAAACGCATTTTCCTTTTTGTTTTAAGATGGAAGAAGGTTGAAGCCGACTACAGTGGTTCACACCTGTAATCTCAGCCACTTGGGAGGCTGAGGCAGGAGGGTTGTAAGTCTGAGGCCAGCCTCAGCTACTTAGCAAGACCCACTCTCAAAATTAAAATTTTAAAAAGGTTTGGGGATGCACCTCAGTAGTCGAGTGCCCGGAGTCCTGGGTTCAATTCCCAGTACCCAAAAATGAAAAAGAAGGAAGAACGTTGAACAGCTTTATAAGTATAGGGAGAATGTTAACCAGGAAGAAATTACACAAGTAAGAGAAAAAAAGAAACTGAGGTGGTCAGGGGTGTAAAAGTGCCTTTTAGATTGAGAAGAGCTGAGCCACTGGTCCTGTATAAGGACAGGCATAAGCCAAAATAAACCTTTGGTATTGTTAAGTTGATTATCTTAGTTTTTTTTTTGTTATAATAACACAAAGATAACACAGTATGCATACACTGAGAGAGATTTTGGTTCCTCCTCCTGGCATGGAGAGGGGAGGCGACGGCGGTGCTACCTGCGTTTTCATGACAGGACAGTGTTGCTCTATGAAAACTGGGTTTTGTGTGGCTTTTGAGTGGCCAGACATTCACAGAGGTGAAAAGCCGCTGCAGTCAGTCCTCTGTGGTGAGGGC